TTAGAGTTCGAATTAAAAAGGTATGCCTACTTTACTGGATATTATCTTTTCAAACGCTGGCCGTGCATCCGAGGCATTTTCCGTGCACTAGCGCATCGAGGCAACAACTTCTGCCTTCCTACATGATTTTGAGACTTTTTCTGTGTGGGCGGGCGCGTCTAAAGTCTTTTAACCCCCCCCCCCCCCCACCCCCTTCCAAAGACGTAGTTCAACTTCCTAGTTCATAAATTTATCCTAGAAAGAGAAGCTTTCAAGAAACTAACTTCCTCTAAGGTTCATCCATCATCCAAGGTAAGATTTGACCATAAAGCTTCATAATTTCTTCATCTTAACAAGAATTAATAACTTCTACTCATGAAATTCATAGATTTTCAAAACAAAAAAAAACTCCTCAAGAACTCATCTCCAAGGTTCAAGAAAGGTTTTGTGGTTCTTCTTCTTCTAAAATCACACTTTTTTTCGGCAATTGGAGTGATTAAGGCATGTAAGAATTCTTAAATTTTCAAGAATTCAATTCTATGATTAGAGTTTATAAGCCCACTTTCAAATTCACCATTTTTATGATTCAATTAATGAATTCTTGAACTTACTAATGATTATGGGTTTTGACTGTTGTGTTTCCCTTTATGTTGAGCAAGATTTTTCCATTGCCATGTCCATGATTCTTGAAGCTTATATATTAAAGCATTATTGTTTAGCCATTATATTATTATGAAAGCTATTTTGAGAATCTACAAGTTGTACATATTCTAAAAAACTTTCTCATGATTTGACAGATATGTTTTATGATGTAGATTTCAGCTAAGTTCCTAGACTTTCAGCATTGTGGTGAGTCCTCCTCGCATTCAGAGGACTTCAGTTATAAGTTAGTAGATTTAATTCACTCCAGTTGTGTTAGCTTTCAAGCAGTCCGGGGCCATGATAAATCATTTTATTCAGTTTAGAGGCTTTCATACATTAGTATTCAGTTGTAATAGACTTATTCTTGAACTCTATTTCAGCTATGTTTTTAGTCTTTAGCTTCGGCTTCAATTTTCATATGATATGCTTAGATATGCTATGCCAAGGATTAGTTTGGGATCATTTGTCGTTCCAAATACTGTGTTTCGATTAGGGTGTAGACCCGAATCGTGACAATAAATACCACAAAAAATCATATTCAATATGTAGTTTTTTTTAGCATGTGATGCATCATATTCGAAAGATTTATTTTTTCATACTAATTGCATATATTAAAATAATGATATTCACTAATAATAACAAACAATAAATTTATAACAAAGTTAGTCAAAGGATTTTTCTGTTTAAATTTAGATTTATTTAAAATTTATAATTCAAAATAATATTATTTAGATTATTGGTACATTAAATGAAAAAGATTAACTAAGATATCACGATAAAGAAATTGATCTATAAGAGAATAATATATATAATGTGATGTTATTTATTCATTAGATTAATCTGACCAATAAGATAAATAACGAAAGAATACATTAAAAATAATTAATTAATAGATAATGTAACAATGATATGCAAAGAATGGAAAGAGAAAAAATATTTAAAATATTTGATATAAAATTTGAGAATGTATTGAAAAAATTTAAAATAAATTATAAATCTTATGCAAGACTTGAAGCTAAAATTCAAAAGTTGCGTTGTAAACACAAATTAATTATTAATTGCACTTTATATTTTTGTAACAACAATAGTAATAACAATAATAACATAGTCATTATTATTTTAAGTGTGGGATTTGAGAAATATAAAATGTACTAGGACCTTATTTTTATCTATCTTTGTAGGATAAATTTTGTTTCTGATAAACCCTAAGCACAAGACAAAAAGTCAATTCTCACTAAAGTTTTTCTACTTGGTTGAAAATAAAGAACATATTTTCTTCTAAAAGAAAGAAATATTAGTCACAGTAAGAACAAGAAAATAGTAAAATAATATAGAAGAACTTATTTTGAGATTTTTTAGTATCAATAATTGATCTATTAGACGAAATTTTGTTTATGATAAACCCCATATCTCTCCATTCCCCTCCTTCAACTTTGCGAAACTTTCAAGTATCATTAAAATAGATGTGATCAGGCTGCACTCCTACGGCCTTAGAAGAGTCTATATGGCAACTGCTATACTCAGACTTTAGAAGTCTTACCGTCACTGTTAGGTCCATCTAGCTAATTCCTCACATTCAGAAAATTGAGAAATAATAGTGCACCTGATACATCAACTGGATAATTTTCTCAAGGTAAAAGGATTATCTAGATATTTAGTCAATAATAAATAACTATTTCAAATACTTCAGATTCAAGAAAAGTACAATTGAAATTGATTAAAAAAGATTAAATTTAAAAAACAAAAACAAATTGGCCAAAGCCAAATTAAAGCAAGAGCTAGCATTTTTAATCCAAAATGTCAGAACAATGCTATAACCCAAGTTTGTGGACGAATAAGTATACCAAAGTGTCGGAATAAAAAGATTGAATTTTTATATCTTCAAGACTTTAAACCGGCATATTTCTAACACCCCTTCTATCGAACTCTGTAAAATTATCAGTACAATATATGTGATTAGGCTTCAGGCCTATAAGCTTAGAAGGATCAATCGAAGTTGAAGCATTACACCCCAAAAATGTTGCTCTATCTCCCAAAAATATTGATCTATCTCCCAAGGGTCAATAATATTTGCTTCTCCTTTGAAGCATTACACCCCAAAAATATTGTTTTACTTCAATTAAATTTCAACACTGCATTTGGAATTTAAAAAACACTTAAAAACTTGTTTTCACTTTCACTATATTTTTCTTTTTTTTTGAATTCTACTCTAATTTTTTTATTTTTATAAAATGACCGGTCTATTTAGATTGTATTACATGTTTAGATCATATTTCATATTTTTTAAGGAAAAGTACATTCAGACAACTAAATATCATTTGCAAAACCTATTAACCAAATACAGTTCCATCTTCAACACAAGCTAACTAAAAAAATTCCAAATAAAGTGTGAATATACTTGTAATGGTAAGTAGTATCTCATATATGAAATATAATATATGACATTATCTATTATGAGATGTTATTCTTAAGAGCAAATTTGTATATTTCAAATAAATTTAGTCAAGTTGGGTGATTTTACTTGTGGTATAAATTTAGGACAAATTACAGAAATCACATATTTTTAAGGCAAAATTACAATTTATCCCTTAAAAGGTTATAATTACAGAAATCTCTCAAACGGATACAATAATATAAGCGTTGATACATTAATCTGATGCGTGAGATACATTAACCGTTAAGTAAGATACATTACATTTTATACATGATACACTAATCTGATGCACGATATACACTAATCTGATACGTGAGATACACTAATTTGATGCGCGAAAATGAGGGATTTTGGAGATTTGTAAAACTTATAGGGGATAATGGTAATAAGTAAACTAAAATGCGGGATTTCTGTAATTTTTCCATAAATTTAACCATATTTAGAAAAAGAGGAATTTTTGCATATGACCACTTAAAAATAACTTAATTATGCTCCATAGTTATAGTTTGTTAATTATGATTCGTAGCTACATGTTATAGGGAGGAGAGAGATTAAGAGAGGGAGGGAGAGGCTTGCGAGAGAGGGCAGAGAGTGTTGAGAGGCAAATTGTATATGTATGTATGTCAAATAATTATAAATATGTAACTGATATACATATGTATTTATATATCTAACGAGAGAGATTAGGAGAGGAAAGAGAGAGGGGAGAGAGAGAGAGCAGAGCGTGGAAAGAGATGAACAATACGTGTATCTGTTAGATAATTGTATATATATAACTAGTATACATACGTACTTATACATCTGGCGAGCGAGTTGGGAGAGGGAAGAGATAGGCAAGCGAGATTGGGAGAGGGAGGAGAGAGGGCAAAGAGTGAAAGAGGCTAATTGTATTTGTATATTTGTCATATAATTGTATACGTATATATATTTAATTTGTATTTGATGATTTGTATTTGTATATGTATAAAAGAGGAGAGAGGCGAGAGAGAGGAAGAGAGGAGAGGGGCGACGTAATTACAACTAAAATTAAGTTGTGAGCCGTAATTAATTCAAATAACTAGTATATGTTTGCTTATCTGCGTAATTTCCCCTTAGATTCTAAATATTCTTTGCAAAAAGTATGTCAAGCACAACTCCAACTTGAAAGTATTTAACGTTCCAGTTCCATATATATAGTAATAGAAGAGATAACTAACTATACATGCATTTTTAGCCAAACAATAGCATTAACATGTGTTAGGAATGACAAAATCATCTAACAAATGAAGAGAAGAGCAGATTACATATAAGGAGTACTGTATTGTTTTAATCATCTAATCAAAATTTTAAAAAGTATATCATTTCGGATAACCCACCTAAGAAATCAATACCTCTATGGGGGTAAAACGTAGGTAAAGAAAAAGTCTTGTTATTAACAAATTGATGCAACAAAATACTAGTATTGCTCGCCACTAATAGATCATATTTCAAGAGGAGTGGAAGGATGTAGTGGTATTTATTCTCCGACTACACGATGAGAAAAGACATTCATGAGCTCCTCTTCTTACCGTTAAGTGGCTTTCACTCCTTACTAATAGTCCAGTACTGGCACTGAACTGCGGGCGCTACTGCAAGGTTACAGCTCCCTGGCCCCTGCCTATAACTTACAACCACTAGGCATAGAAAATAGATGTGTAAGAAGTTATCCATCACTTGCAATCTACTAACCTCATATACTCCAATATTTTGCAGGACTGCATGTGGTTACTCCAACAACTGAATAATCCATCGATAAGCCATACGTACAGGGAGGGAAATGGAGTGGAGGACAACCTAACAAAGATAGGTCGCAGTGCAACTTTTTTGATAAAGTCGCGGTTACTGATACACCACTTGCTTTTACTCTTGCAGTATTAGCCAAGGATTAACAAAGACAATACCAACGGAGAATCATCTTCTACCATGGCTATAGCTGCAGATTCACAGCAGTTCTTGTACTCACCCCACTACCCCTTTTCGTGTAACAAGCCACAGGATCAACCACAAAACAGAGCTGCAAAATAAAGGAATTACATCTGACTACAACTATAATTTTTAGGAGCTTCTAGGCTGTAAGTTCTATACTCTACTTGCCGTAAAGATTCATGGCCCTTTCCACTCAACATGAAAACTTTTAAACAGTGAATAACAATTTCAAAGTAGTTACAGTCTACCCGAGCTACCCTCTGATGTGTATTACCAAGTGCTAACCATCTTCGAAAGGCTCAAAGTTTAATAAAATTTACTCTTTAACCTCCAAAGTGATAAACACTGACACTTTGCACACAAGTTCGAATCACTGAAAAATTCTAGCAATTCACAACTAAAATTACATGCTGGAAGGAGAAAAAAAGCAGAAAGGAACATCACATTAAAGAGGTGTATTTGTATAGTGAAAATCACATGCCTAAATCATTCATAAGAAGTATCATTAAAATTTACTTAAAGAAGATTGAAATACAAAACATGAACATACAGACACGATTACAATCAAAGAAAGCAAATAATTCTTAAAACTTCATTTTGATAAGACAGAAAACATAAATAAATGGCCAAAACTAAAAGGCGAGAGAATGTCGTGGAGGTATGTGCAATTCCCCTTTTGATATCACAATGATGGGATAACCCAAGATGGCATACAAATAGGACTAACAGAAATGCCCGGATAAAAAGATTGAATTTTTCCATCTTCAAGACTATAAGCTCCCATATCTGTGCCATCTCCTCCTTCCCAATTATCAGTAAAATAGATGTGATTAGGTTTCACTCCTATAGACTTAGACGCGTCAACTGAAATTGATCCATTCTTCCCCAGAAAAATTGCTCTATCTCCCAAGACTCTAATCTTTTTTGCTTTACTTCTAATTAAATCTAGTTTCCATACTCGAAATTTATAGGTCTTCAATCCATCAACAGTATCATAGTTACAAAATTGTGAAACAAGTAATAGTGCACCTGATACTTCAACTAGATAAAGCTGCTTTAGTGGACCATAATTGTTTTTCTGAATAACCAAATGGAGTTCATAATCCTCATCAATAACCCAAACTCCAGTAGAAGTAATCACATAAAACTGTCCATTAAAGTAGTGGATATCCCATAATTCACCAAATCCATCAACATCATAAATTGGAGTCCAAAAGAGATCACCAGGTTCCCAATAAGCCAAATAACTTTTATGCCTACTATACGATATAATCACAACATAATCAGATGATAACGAAGGATTAGCAGATAACATAATTTTATTGATAGACACATAGCTACTTTCATGAGTTGGTTCCCAATATCTCAAGCCAATATGTGGAGGAAGATGAATTTGAGCATGTGAAAAAGGATGCAATAACTTCATTTCTCCGATACCTCTATATTCGAAGGTAGCAATCCATCCCATTGTTGAAAAACATTCTCGATCTTTAGCTTCTGGGAGAAATACTCGCGTTATTTTCTTCTTAGAAAGAGAGAAAAATTCTCGGTAATCATTGTCGTCGTCGTCTTTTTCAGCAGCCAACATAAGCAATGGAAGTTGTGGGAATGGTCCATCAAAATTTTCTTTGGTAGCGGCAATTCGCCATGATTTACAAACAACACCAAATACAACGAAATCATCAATAACCGTAACACGATTTGCTATTGTAACAAGTAAATCGTATGGAAGTAACGACCAATCCGCCATAGCTAGGGCAAAAGAGAAGAGCGATTTTAGTTTTAGGGCTTTTGCCTTTGAGGAAATTTATGTAAGCGCGGGCAAAAGCAATGTATTTATTAGGTTGGGGGGACAATTAAGATTTAGGTGGATTGAGTTAAATTTGGGATTATAGTAAGTCAAGATTTAATTCAATTTAAATTTATTTGGGTTGAAACGGATCATAAAATGGGTCAAGATTTATTCTAACTCAATTTTTACTAATTTTTATTTATTTTATTAAAATATTAAGTACCTATTAAGATGATTTTCTTTCTTTATTATGGCTATATATAACATATCAATTTTTTTTAAAGTTATAAATATTTTAACAAATTTTTTCATGAATCAATCTGGGTAACATATCAATCAAATTTTTACACATAAAATTTAAACGGATTGGGAAAGTTGGGTTTGATTTTGTCACTCCTAGTAATAGGTAATTCTATCTACCAAACTTCAAAATCAAATATCCAGTATTGGCATTGAATTGCGAGTGCTTCTGCAGGTTAACAGTTTATCCTTAGAGTTGTTCAAAATAGAATCAAAATTAGTTACTCCAATCAATAAAAATGTTTTAATTTATCGATTATGGATTATTGGTTTAGTAGTGTCGATAACATTTTTTATTTTTTTATATCATGTTATTTGTTCTTAATGGTTTGAGGTTTTTTCTTAACGGGTTAATCAATAACTCGATGATAAATTAATAAATTATATTTATACCATTCAGTATATAAAATTCTTTTATTTTTTACAGTCTCAAACCCTCGGTTATTCAACAATTTGCTTTTGAGCAAGATTTGATCTATCAACTTATGTGCATGGTTCATTTGGTTTGTCATTTTGTTTCTAAGTGAGTTTCAATGATTTTTTTTGTGTCAAATCTTAATGGTTAAATCGACAATGATCAATGACCGATAAAACGACATCTCAATAATTTTATAATGATTTAGCATGTCTACAAATAGATAGCCGATAAACTTCAAATCAAATTTAGTCGATCGATGCACCACCTTACTTTTCTTTGCCTTTTCCCATAACTTACAATCACTAGTCCATTATTTTATATACAGAGTTGGGACTTCAAGCCTAACTTTAAAATTAAATATCTGAGAATGACAATTTCGTACTTTAGACATTTGAGTTTGATGATCAGATTGATAGTCATGAGGACTGTAATGCTTAATTAACTTCAAGCAGGAACATTCCAAACAGAAAAAAGATTTTCCAAAATGTAAGAATGAAGGGAGGAAGACAATTGACCTATTGCCCTTCTTCGCCTAATTGTAGGAAAATCCTTACATAAAGCCCAAATAAACTTTGAACTCGAGGCTTAGTGTAAATCACTTTTTTTGTAACACCTCAAAAGTAGAAAAGTTGAGTTGGAAAATAAAAGTTGCAAAAAAATTATTGGTGCAAGTTTGTCTGAAGTCAACTACGGACCGTACATAGATCTATGATCCGTGGATGGCAGTCGTAGATGATGTCCTGGAAGTTGGGAAAATGCGATGAGATTTCATGGGCCAACAGGATGGTTCGTGGATGGTACTACGGCTTGTAGATTCCTGTCGTGGTTGTGGTTTTAGACTTGGTAAAATTTTGGTGCATTGAGTTAAACGATCAGCTTGTACAAGTCATACAAGGATTTACGACTCATAGTCATTGGCCCATGGTTGATCTTCAGAAACTTGAACTTTCAGTCATTGAGTGTACAGTTGGCTAGTACGGCCCGTAAAAGAAACTACAGACCGTACATGGCTAGTCATGGTTGGTGGCTTGGACTTAAGAGGATTTCTAAGCTTGAGTCCTACGAGAAGGTTTGACGAGTCGGGTGATGGTTGACAGGTCATGGAAGGTTGTTCGTGGTTTGAGTTCAAAATGTTGAGTTTTCAGTAATTGATCTACGGACGACCAGTATGGTCCATAGAAGGATGTATGGATCGTACATGGTGTTGTAGAGGTATTCCGACAGTTATTTCTCAGGGTTAATTGGATTTTTTCTACTCTTTTAATATTTGTATTACGTCGTTTCTAGACTATTCCTAAGATCTATAACAATTTCTAAGGCCAAAACCCTCCACATTCACTCTCAAACTACCTATCTTTCAAGTCTTAGTTCGTCTTCACTCAAGTGCGACTAATGCTATAATAGGAACGAAACTGATACTTCTAACTTACGAACTTTACCACAACAATGTTGTCCATTTGATCAAATTATTTCGTGGATTAAATTTCACTTGACTGTCGATGGTTTCATTATGTGTGCTCGGGGTAGTAGTTTGTATAAATGTATCGACATAGTTCATTCGAGGTGATTATAGGGTTCTTCAAGCTTCAAGTCTCCTCTTTCAAGTTCAAAGCTAAGGTTCATTAAGGTACGCGGAAAATTCATCAATGGGTTCCTTTTCACCCATTGAGTCCCAAAGAAATCTCAATTCCTCTCTTTTGATTCTTACCCAAATTCTAGGGTTTCATGATTTTGTCATAGGGTTCAATTGATTTAAGTCATTTTCATCATAATTGATCTCATTATGCATGATTTAATCATAATTACATGTTCCCAATGATTTTTTACATAAACTCGTGCTATATGAGTATTTTGATTATGAACTAAAGATTTTAGGGTATGGATGTTAGTGTCTTTTCGTGGGTGTTTGGTGTTTTTTCGTGGTGTTTGGTGTGTTGTTTGAGGTCTAAAACCCATAGGAGTGACTCTTATTCATAGATGGACATGTTTAGGGTCCAAAAAAACTGGTACGACCCCCCAAGGACCACCTAAGGGGTCCTTGAGGAGGACCCAACCTTTGGCCAAAAGCTGTCAAAAACAGCTTGACCCACGAAGGTAATTGACGAGGCGTCAATTGATCCACGCCTCGTGGAGTGAGGTCGTGGATCAAGACTGCAACTTGACTTGGTTCCCTGCAACAGGGAAGCCCCAGTCACAAACCACGAAGGCATTCCACGCCACGTGAACCCACCAACGGTTCGTGGATATGGGTTCCGTAGGTGCTGCCAATTTCCAGCCCTCTAGTTGTAGGTTGGTGATTTGGATTTAAGTTGGTTAATTAATTAAGTGCTTATGGGGTTGATTAGTTAGTTGATTAATCACCTTTATAAGCTAGCAAGACCTTATGCTAAGTCATGAAATTATTTAGAACGAAGACCCTCAAAACAGTCCCCTAAAAACAGTTTTTAGTTTTAAGTTAGGAGTGAGGGTCAACTTTAAATGGTTATATCTCATAGCTCAAAAATAATTAGTTGTTCTATTACATATCCAATTAAAGGCCTCTGAGTCCTCTTTCCAACGCCACCGGGTTTGCCCAATTCCGATCTCGGAGTAAAAAGTTATGGCCGAAATAGTGAAGCACTATCAGTCCCAGGTCCAATCGATGGACCCAAACTACGGACGGTAGATCAAACGACGGTCCGTAGGTTGGGGTCCATAGATTCTGCAAGTTTTGTGACTTTTAGCTTTAAGTTGGGGATTTGGGAATTAAGTTAGTTAATTAATTAAGGGCTTAGGGGGTCGGTTAAGTGATTAAATAACCTCATATAAATAGTTAATAAGACCCTAAACTAAGGGATTAACCCAATATAACTTAAAGACCCAAATCAAACTCAATTCCCTCCCTCTCAAATATTTCTCTCTACAAGTTCCTCCATTGAAGAACAAAGAAGGAGATACAACTAGGGCTTGAAGATGGAGTCTTTCTCATGGGGTTTTGATGGGAATCTACACCTAAGGTATGGGAGTCCTTTATTCTAGGTTAGCTATCACCAAGAAGCCCTTTTCAACTAAGTTTTCAAAGATCCCCAATTTCTAGGTTTTCAATCAAATTCGTGGGTCTCTTTCTAAAATCGATTCCATTGATCTATAATGGTTATCTATGATTATATATGAATGTTTGTGGATGAATTCATGTAATACTTATGGTTTTTGAACAATTCCCCACAAGACCCATGATTTCCCTTTTCTTTCTCAATTCTAAACCCTAGCTTGTGTTGAATGATGATTGAAGGATGAGAATCTAGTATGTTATTATGAAATTCATTATTGTATTATGAGGTTATCCTTTATGATGTATGAATATGAAGAAAATAGGTTGAATCTTGAAGAAAGCCTTGATGGCTATGAATGAAGGTTTTCAATTGGTAAGAGCCTTCTATTGAATTGTTGATCCACTTGTGGGGGAGATGTCTACTTATTATATATCCTTTGAATGAATGGTTTGATCCACTTATGGTGGAGGTGCTTACTTGTTAGTATGAATTGTAGTGTTGAGACAAGGACCCTCTTCCCTACAACCCTAGTTATGACTAAGTATGATACATTATGAATATGAATGATATGTTATGAACATGGTATGGTCTATATGTTGAATTGTATGAGGTGCTATTGTGGAAGGACCCTACCCACATAATCCCCTATATGTCTATACATGCCATGAATGACCTACTTGAATGATGAATGTATCTTTGTCTATTGTATGAATGTTAGATAGGTGATTTACATGGTCTAAGATCCTTAAATGCAATATATGTGAATTGTGCATGAGTTGGGATATTATGTATATGTTATGACCCCCTTGACAAGGGAGGTGTCTATGATGTTAATGTTGTTGTTGTTTTGGCATTGTGAGGACAATCATGCACATACATTGTGAGGACAATCATGCACACACACTCCATGCATAAATATGAATATGATATGTCTATGGTGTCAATTGAAAGGCTAATTCTCATATGCACCTTTACATACTATTATGCATGAAATGTACATGACCATGAAGATATGACTATGTATGCTAGGATGTGAGTATGAATGTTATGTTATGATTATGGTAGTGTTGATATGTTGAATAAAAGGTAATTCTCATAAACACTATATGAATATGAAATGAATGAACATTCTCACATGTGGTTGGCTCTATGATGAAAGGCTATTCTCATCTTTGAAACCTTTGAGCTATATGATGAATGATGGGTTG